GTACAGGAAGGAAGGAAGGAAAGAAAGAAAGAAAGAAAAAAAAAGAAAGGAGAGAGAAAGAAAGAAGAGATGAGGGGGGCGCTGAAGAAGATGGAGGGGGGGGCGGCGCTTGAGAAGATGGGGGGGGGCAGGTGATTGAGGAGCTGGATAGGAGATGTGGCCTGGCGGCACATAAAGGAACGGAGAAATCCTATGCAGGCGGCCCCGGCCCACCAGGCAAATGCCCAATGAGCCGTCTGGCCAGTCCAGGCCTGGCTGTATGTCACTGTCCCCAATAAAGGATAACCGTTTGCTGACACCCACCAAAGTGGCAGCTTTTCATTGAAGCTTTGTAGAGGCCGGCGCCTGTCTAAATGATGACTTGGACAGAAGCACTGAACAAGGGAGCGGCTGCTTCGTGTCAAAGGATAAATGAATAAATATTTGAAAGTTCAAAGCAATTACGGGAACAGAATTTGGTATGTAGAGATGATTTCTATCAGGCAAGTCTCTGCACCAGCCAGAGAGGGAAATTACGGTCATTTTGCTGAGTCCTTTTCCCTGAAAACAGCAACTAGTACAGAGGAACCGGCTTCAGCCTAACGTTACATAAATGTCAAGCATCTCATTTTGTGTGGCGGTACGGGAACGTTCGTACACATCGCTGGCATTTCCCGCAGTATTTCACACAAAGTATATCATTTAACTGTGGCGCCCTCCATGCCTTTAGGTTGCAGTGTCCCGATCTGCTGCCCATGTCAGCTTGATCGGTCTGCAAAAAAATACAAAAAATAATTGGTTACCAAAGAAATCTGTTAGGTTGCCCTTGTGATTCACACAACCCGCTACAATATGAGGAACCATTCCTGAAAGAAATATTGGGGTATTTTTCCTAATGGGAATTCCTAAGGACTTGTTCACACTGGACTTCTTCCCAACCCCCATGGAAGAAAAATATATTTGAAATATATTTTAAAAATATTCTTCCCAAATATATTGACATATATTTGAAATGCTACAATTTTGGCCATATTCCATATATATATATATATATATATATATATATATATATATACACTGCATGTTGAAATTAGTTTTTATTACAAAATATATGAAAAATATTTTTAAAAATACATTTTCAAATATACTGCATGTCTTTGAAAATACAAATCTACATTTTTGGAATGCATTTACAAATATATGTAAAAATATATGTTAAAATAACTTTTGTATATGTTAAAAAAAATCTGAAGAATATATTTTAGAATATAAAGTCATTAAGGTTTGGTGGCTGACGTTTGGCAACTCGAACTTTCAGCTCCCTCCACAGATTTTCAATCGGATGAAGGTGTGGAGACTGGCTAGGCCACTCCAGGACCTTAATGTGCTTCTTCTTGAGCCGCTCCTTTGTTGCCTTGGCCGTGTGTTTTGGGTCATTGTCAGGCTGGAACACCCATCCACCACCCATTTTCAATGCCCTGGCTGAGGGAAGAAGGTTCTCACCCAAGATTTGAGGGTACATTGCCCCGTCCATCGTCCCTTTGATGTGGTGCAGTTGTCCTGTCCCCTTAGCAGAAAAACACCCCCAAAGCAGAATGTTTCCACCACCATGTTTGACAGTTGGGATGGTGTTCTTGGGGTTATAGGCTCCTCCTTCTCCAAACACGGCGAGTTGAGTTGATGCCAAAGAGCTGGATTTTGGTCTCATCTGACCACAACACTTCCCACCAGTCCTCCTCTGCATCATTCAGATGTTCAGTGGCAGACTTCAGACAGGCCTGGACATGTGCTTTCTTGAGCAGAGGGACCTTGCGGGCACTGCAGGATTTCAGTCCTTGTCGGCGTAGTGTGTTACCAATTGTTTTCTTGGTGACTGTGGTCCCAGCTGCCTGGAGATCATTGACAAGATCCTCACGTGTAGTTCTGGGATGATTCCTCACTGTTCTCATGATCATTGACACTCCACGAGGGGAGATCTTGCATGGTGCACCAGACCTAGGGAGACTGACACTTGTTTTGTGTTTCTTCCATTTGTGAATGATTGCACTAACTGTTGTCACCTTCTCACCAAGCTGCTTGGCCATAGTTTGGTAGCCCAGTCCAGCCTTGTGTAGGTCTACCATCTTGTCCCTGACCTCCTTGGACAGCTCTTTGGTCTTTGCCATGGTGGAGAGTTTGGAATCTGATGGTTTGATGGCTCCTGTGGACAGGTGTCTTTTATACAGGTAACACAATGAGATTAGCAGCACTCCCTTTAAGAGACTGCTTCTAATCTCAGCTTGTTACCTGTATGAGAGACACCTGGGAGCCAGAAATCCTGCTGAATGATAGGGGATCCAATCCTTCTTTCCCTCATGAACATGCAGATCAGTCATCATTTGTTAGACGCATTTCTGCTGAATTTGTTGTTGTATTCTGTCTCTCAGTGTTACACCGAACATTCCATTGTTAGACCGATCATCATTTCTAGACCGATCGTTTCTGTGTGAGGGGGGAACATTCAACATCAGCCGGGGAGCAAATACGCATTTCCTTCACTGTATCTCATTTTAAGAAAATCAAGTCTTGTATTGAGCTAACATGCAAGGTTGGTGCGCATTTTGTTTCACTTTTCAGTACTGGTCAGGCTTCCCCAGCCTTGTTAAGAGCTGCACAACCTTTGATCCATTTGGTGGACGAACTTCCATAACTGGTCCACCCACCCTTGATCTGGGTCCCTGAGAGGTGTTGTTTCTATTAACACTTTGTAAACTCCAGCTGCTCAGTGCCTACAAATACTGTTATTATTCATAACTGCCATTCTATTTACAATATACAAGATACCTACAGTGAAGGAAATAAGTATTTGATCCTTTGCTGATGATCCTCAGCCAGGGCATTGAAAATGGGTGGTGGATGGGTGTTCCAGCATGACAATGACCCAAAACACACGGCCAAGGCAACAAAGGAGCGGCTCAAGAAGAAGCACATTAAGGTCCTGGAGTGGCCTAGCCAGTCTCCAGACCTTCATCCGATTGAAAATCTGTGGAGGGAGCTGAAAGTTCGAGTTGCCAAACGTCATCCACCAAACCTTAATGACTTGGAGAGGATCTGCCAAGAGGAGTGGGCCAAAATCCCTCCTGAGATGTGTGCGAACCTGGGGGCCAACTCCAGGAAACGTCTGACCTCTGTGATTGCCAACAAGGGATTTGCCACCAAGTACTAAGTCATGTTTTGTGAAGGGGATCAAATCCTTCTTTCCCTCATGAACATGCAGATCAGTCATCATTTGGTAGATGCATTTCTGCTGAATTTTTTGTTGCTACTCTGTCTCTCAGTGTTACACCGAACATTCCATTGTTAGACCGATCATTTCTTTGTGAGGGGCGAACATTCCATTGTTAGACCGATCGTTTCTGTGTGAGGGGCGAACATTCAGCATCAGCCGGGGAGAAAATACTTAAGGTGTAAAATGGAAAAGCGAGCGCTACGCAAATGTGTCTATATGAGCCGCTAGAACACCAAAAAAAGGTAACCAACCAACCTTTCAGTAAACAATGGAAAAAAGAGAGGGATCAGTGCAGCGCTAGAATTATGAAAACATCAAATAAGTACTCGATGTAAATGCCCTAAGCGTATAAGCAAAGGCAGAAAAAGAGAAAAAGTGAAAAATAAAAATAAAATGCAATCCGCTATTCAGTTAATAATGTCAAAGTACACAATAGTCCAAATTCCCATGTCAATTGCTGTAAGGGATGTGTTGCAGTTCAGAGGTAAAGGTCCTTAAAACAAATAGATTGCGCACTCACCAGAAGTGCATATAAAATACGCATGTAGAGAGATATATATAATCTTCAAAACATCTCAGTCAACAGGGTTCTGGTCAGGTCGCACTCTACATCATCCTCCGTCTCACCGTAATCAACAATTACCATGGTTCAGTATGGGCGTCAGAATTCCCCTTGGTCCAACCAGGCACTGTGGAAGGTGGTGCTCTCAAAGAGAGCCCAATAAGGGACGCCACATAGTGTAATGTTGTATTGACACAAGTTTATTCTCAAAATAGGGTAAAATAAAAGATGCTACTGACCATAAATATAGTTGGCCACATGTGGTGGCTAGATGTCCATGTGCTGTAGCCCTGACGCGTTTCGTGCGATGCACATTCTCAAAGGGTGCAGGGCTTACCTTATATACTTATGTCCTTCACTGTATATCATTAAGAACTGGGTCTCACCCTGGGATGGGTCCCACCCAGGGGTGGACAGACCATTGGGAAACTCAGGCACTGCACGAGGGCCGGGGTCAGTGGGGGGCCCCATGAGATGCCCATGGTATATTTTTCATGGGCCTTTTTGAGATTGGGGAAGGACACAGGGGCCCCATGATCCCCTATTGCTCCGGGGCCCCATGAGTCGTCAGTCCACCCCTGGTCCCACCTACAAGCTCTTTGTATCTGGCAGTGCGGGAAGGACAGCATGCCATGCCCACCAGAGCTATGGTGCTTGGGGGAGGGAGTCTGTGGCCAGCAGGATAGAATCCACATGCCGGCTGCAGTAGGGGTTTATGCTGCCCATCTCACTGTATGCCATGTGATGGGCTCAGGATACATGACCCCCCCCGCACGCAGAAATATGGAGAAGTGGAAGAATGCGGGGAGTGGAGGGGTGGCCGGACACCCTTGACAGTACCACTTTAAATCTTTTCAATATTCCTAAATAAAAGTATCTATTCTGTTTATCCACATCTAATTTTTTTCTGGGCAGTATTCCTAATTCTCCTGCAAAAAGGCCAATCTTTCCTCATTAAGGCAGTCATTACCACAAAACATTAATTAGACATAACAGACGTCCTCTGTCAAACCTGCAGACAACATTACTATGCCACAGCTGTGCGGTGGGTGAAAGAAACATGTAACAAACATATAACCGCGATCCTTCTTTGTTAGCAGCTACATTACTCTAAGCAGTAATTAAGGTAACAGGAGACAATTCAAAAGCCCATGTAAGTGCATCATCACCGCGGCTACTTGAAGACTAATTATGTGTCCTGTTTTGTTTCTCGCTAGGTACTATGCAACAGTGCACCCTTTAAAGAAGAGAATATCTGTGACGACCTGTATCTACGTGCTGGGGGGGATCTGGCTCCTGTCCTTTGCCTTAGTTGGGCCAGCCATTGCTCATACTTACCACATAGAGTTCCAGCAGCAAGGCTTCGCCATTTGTGAAGAATTTTGGTTTGACAAAGAGACAGAGAGGCTGGCCTATGCCTATAGCACCTTGATCATCACGTACATCCTGCCCTTGTCCGCGGTATCCCTGTCGTATATTTGCATCTCCGTCAAGCTGAAGAACAGAGTGGTCCCTGGCCATCCTACTCAGAGCCAGGCAGAGTTTGATAGACTGCGGAAGAGGAAGATCTTCAGGCTCATCGTGCTGGTGGTGACAGCCTTTGGGATCTGTTGGCTTCCCATTCACGTCTTCAACATCATTCGGGACATTGACATCAACCTCATCAACAAACATTATTTCCTGCTTATTCAGCTCCTATGTCATTGGTTCGCCATGAGTTCCTCTTGCTGCAACCCCTTCTTGTATGCCTGGCTTCATGACCGTTTCCGCAGTGAGCTCAAGAAGATGTTCACCTTTAAACGTAAAATCATTCCCACCAACAACTGTGTGGCGGTCAGCGTGATGCTCTGATGTCCTAATCACTCAATACCCTGTACCCAAAGCCATTCATTTCATTCACGTAACACAGAGAGGAAATATTTGACTCTTCATCCATGCTGTGACCTACAAGTCCCAATAAGAGACTTTAGCTCAATACTGTGAAGGTTTAGCAAGAGGTTCAAATACACTATTTGGCCAATGGTTTTTTGAACACCTGACCATCACATCTTTATGAGCCTTTGGACATTAGCGTAGGGCCTGGGTTTGGCTTGGGCTCAATCCAAACCTACTGTATGTTCTGCCTCACCCAAAAGAACCCTTTCAGCTCAAGCCAGTCAGTGCCAATCAGAGTCCAAGGCATTCCTCGCCCTGCAGTTGCATGTACACAAAAGGGTGGGGATGCTCATGACATCACTGACCTATTGTGGTCACATGGTGGCCAACTTATTAGGTCTATGATGAAGGAAGGAAGCTATCAGTGGTGGACCTGATTGACCCAGAGCACTAACAGCTTCCTTCTGGGCTCGGCATGGGTTTTTAGGTCTATGATGAAGGAAGGAAGTTATCAGTGGTGGACCTGATTGACCGAGCACTAACAGCTTCCTTCTGGGTTCGGCATGGGTTTTTAGGTCTATGATGAAGGAAGGAAGCTATAAGTGGTGGACCTGATTGACCGAGCACTAACAGCTTCCTTCTGGGTTCGGCATGGGTTTTTAGGTCTATGATGAAGGAAGGAAGCTATCAGTGGTGGACCTGATTGACCGAGCACTAACAGCTTCCTTCTGGGTTCGGCATGGGTTTTTAGGTCTATGATGAAGGAAGGAAGCTATCAGTGGTGGACCTGATTGACCCAACCCTAACAGCTTCCTTCTGGGTTCGGCATGGGTTTTTAGGTCTATGATGAAGGAAGGAAGCTATCAGTAATGGACCTGATTGGTCCAGCACTAACAGCTTCCTTCTGAGTTCGGCATGGGTTTTGGCCAAGCCTAAGTCAAACCCAAGCTGATCCCTACCGATAACAGATTTCACTCTTCTGGAAAGGCTTTCCACAAGATTTTGAAGTGTGTGTCTGAGGAAATGTGTGCCCATTGAGAATAAAAGGGTCTGTGGATGGGTGGACTTGGCCCACAGTCAGCATATCATAAATTATCTCAAAGTTTTCCAATAGGGTTGAGATCTCTGTGTCACACAGGCCACTTGCTTCAGACCAAACATCTCAAACCATGTCTTTTGGAATTGAGCCTCGTGGGGCTGAATTCAATAATTTCGTAGGAAGGTCAGTATTCTTTTGGCCAGACTTTACTGGAAAGACAAGCAACCAGGGTCGTTCCTGAAACTACTCTTGTCTCTCGTGACCTGAGAAAGGTAGGCACTGCTACTACAGTGATCTCTACTAGCTTTCGGGTCCTGTGCTAAGTGGCTGCCTTGCTGCTTACTGAACACAGGAGGTCACTTGCTCAGAACAAGCACCATTCAGAGCACACTTTGCATTTTATCAAAACATGCAAAGTGTTCTGTCACTGAACGAGGAGGAGATTGTGACATCACTGCTTCCCTTCTTCATCTCATTCAGAGACTTTGCGTATATTGAGTAAATGCAACGTTTTTCGTGAATAGTGCCCTTGTCAAGTGAGCAACCTTGTCTGGATCACAGTAGTAGCGGTGTAGTAACAATGTCTACTTCAGGGATTTCCAGTTTTCTAGAGGAATCCCACAGGTATGAAATGACTATACTTATATTGATCCAAGCTAGTCCAATGTAACTATGTAAAAATCGCGCTATACCTACACTTCAGCTCTAATAGCCCTAGACTTAGAGCATGTAAAGGGCTATATTTTTCTAAATCTGCATCATTATTAAAAGCTTTATTACCTGTGAAAGAAGGCAGTGAATATTCACTATTCCCGCTGCACTGCTGTGATGCAGTGAAATTGTCTCCTGAAGTTCACTGGGATGCTTACACTTCAGGTAGTGTTGATCTCCTATACCATCCTCAGGTCTCATTGGTTCCTTCCTCTTGTGGGGTAGGTCTCTCGAAGTTCACTGGGATGCTGACACTTCAGGTAGTGTTGATCTCCTAGACCATCCTCTGGTCTCACTGTTTCCTTCCTCTTGTGGGGTAGGTCTCCCGAAGTTCACTGGGATGCTGACACTTCAGGTAGTGTTGATCTCCTAGACCATCCTCGGGTCTCACTGGTTCCTTCCTCTTGTGGGGTAGGTCTCTCGAAGTTCACTGGGATGCTGACACTTCAGGTAGTGTTGATCTCCTAGACCATCCTCGGGTCTCACTGGTTCCTTCCTCTTGTGGGGTAGGTCTCTCGAAGTTCACTGGGATGCTGACACTTCAGGTAGTGTTGATCTCCTAGACCATCCTCGGGTCTCACTGGTTCCTTCCTCATGTGGGGTAGGTCTCCTGAAGTTCACTGGGATGCTGACACTTCAGGTAGCGTTGATCTCCTAGATCATCCTCAGGTCTCACTGGTTCCTTCCTCTTGTGGGGTAGGTCTCCCGAAGTTCACTGGGATGCTGACACTTCAGGTAGTGTTGATTTCCTAGACCATCCTCAGGTCTCACTGGTTCCTTCCTCTTGTGGGGTAGGTGAAGCATGAAGTGGTAGAAAACACACAGAAGCCTGGAGTGCAGTAACCGATGTATTGAAGAACTTGCAAACATTACAGCAGCCCAGCGTGGAAGTCACCTCACCAGGACTTACAGCCAATACAGTAGAGATTAAGTGGTAGTAGGCCCAAACCGAAGACAGTGCTTGCCAAGGGAGGGGGTGGAATGCGGCCTTGCCAGTCCAACCCAAAAGGGAGTTTTCTGAGGTGAAGACATTCACCATGAGCTGTTCCTAATCCTCTGGAACCTCTCTCTTCCACTAATGCTGTCCTGACAGATGGGTATTCTCTCCCTACAGTAGCCTTTTTGCTAATGTTCACCAAAACCTGGGAGCAGGGACTTGAAAAGACTCTGCGTGGTCACGATGGTCTATGGCATCCAGGGTAACCTGAATGCACCATAATCAACCATAACGCTACTCCAGGGAACCAAAGAAATCATGGAGAAAACAAGTTTCTCTTGACTTCCCTCTCAGCTGCGTTGCCACTCTGGATAAGCGCCACCTACAGTGGAGAAACTTGATTGCACCTGCCTACACTCTGACCTCAAGTCACAGTGAACTTTGAGTGTTGATTTACAGCATCAGAGTGGTGTTGTTGGGGGCTGTATTTCAAGGTAACAAAGCTTTAATAACAATGTTTTAATGGCAAGGTCGTTTAATGCTATCCCATATAGAATAATGGAAGATCTTGGTTCCACAGCAGGTGAAGAACAACAGATTGCCCGACTGTGAGCTTACAAAAGGCAAAATAACTGCTCGTAGGATGATGGTCATTAACATTTGAATTTATTGCAACAAAATGGCAGACAGCTCAACCCTGGATGCCTGGACTTCTATGTACCCATCCTGCAAGGACCAATTCTCTGTAGGATCCCAAAGAATGTAGAAGAAGATTAGTGATAAACAATTGTGCCTTCTAATAAGGAAGTCCTTCTCTCTATGGACGGTGAAACTATTTTCAAGGGTTGGAGGTGGGAAACCATTTTAACTTATTATTAGCACAAGGGCTGCTACTATTTGTAAATCTTTTTTGCTGCCAGAGAGACATTTCACGGGTTGCAGATCCACATGGGTAGGAATCAGTCAATATGGCATAAGTCAAAATACAAATGATCTCATCTTAATACCTAAAGACATTGCTGCAGTTGTGTGCTAATTAACTGTCCATCTGCAATCAATTATTGTGAATATCAGCTTTCCATTTTCTGAAATGATTGCTTTTCATAGAACAAAAATATAAATGAAATTTGAAGAATAAAAGTTGCAAAAATAAACTGGTCTTGTGTGAATTATTTGATCTTGGATTGTATCTTTGATTTTATTGTCACCCCTTGGCTTATGCACTCTGTTGGTTTCTGTATGTTCAGTATCTCACAGAAGTGAGTACACCCCTCACATTTTTGTAAATGAGGGGCATCCTCAAATGGAAGGTGGAGGAGCGCAAGGTCTCTAACATCCACCAGCTCCGTGATGTCGTCATGGAGGAGTGGAAGAGGACTCCAGTGGCAACCTGTGAAGTTCTGGTGACCTCCATGCCCAAGAGGGTTAAGGCAGTGCTGGAAAATAATGGCGGCCACACAAAATATTGACACTTTGGGCCCAATTTGGACCTTGTCACTTAGGGGTGGACTCACTTTTGTTGCCAGCGGTTTAGACATTAATGGCGGTGTGTTGAGTTATTTTGAGGGGACAGCAAATTTCCATGTTATACAAGCTGTACACTGACTACGTCACATTGTAGCAAAGTGTCATTTCTTCAGTGTTGTCACATGAAAAGAGAGAATCAAATATTGACACAAATGTGAAGGGGGGGCTCACTTCTGGGAGATACTATATATCCGGGGGAGGGAGGGACTCACTTCTGGGAGATACTGTATATATATATATATATATATATATATATATATATATATATATATACACATTGCATACAGTCGGGGGGAGGGGTGGACTCACTTCTGGGAGATACTTTATATATATATATATATATTACATATATATATATATACAGTTGCAAGAAAAAGTATGTGAACCCCTTGGGATTACGTGGAGTTTTGCATGAATTGGGCATAAAATGTGCTGTGAACGACATCTAAGTCACAACAATAGAAAAACACAGTCTGCTGAACATAATACTACACAAGCATTAGATGTTGCCATGGTTTAATTGTACATAACATGTAAACATTCACAGTGCAGGGAGGAAAAAGTATGTGAACCTTTGGACTTAATAACTGGTTGACCCTCCTTTGGCAGCAATAACCTCAACCAAACGTTTCCTGTAGTTGCAGATCAGACCTGCACAACGATCTGGAGTCATTTTGGACCACTCCTCTTCACAAAACTGTTTCAGTGTAGCAATATTCTTGGGATGTCTGGTGTGAATCGCTCTCTTAAGGTCATGCCACA